ATATTAATGTTATTGTAAATGATGTAATCCAAACGAGACCTATATTTCATTTTGCATCTAGAAAAATAATCAAGGAGTACATAGAGAGGTTGCCTACCAAGAATCCATTTGAAAACATAGTATTAAATGAAATGGGATAATTATCATATGTAGAAGATGAATTGAGTGTTAAAAATATTGGATCAAAGTATTGGACAAAAAAATTCAAACATTTGAAAAAATGATTTGGTTTAAGAGTGTAAATCTCTACTTTCATAGGATTCAATTAGATTGTTGTGGTTGGTCAAAGTACTTATAAATTGTTTAAGATGAATAAAAACATTTATTTGAAAGAGAATTCCATACTTGGGTTCCTCTTCTCAAATATCATCATTACCCCTTCCATGGAAGACAAATGAGAGAAAATTTCATAACTAGGTTCCAAAATTCCATTTCATTGGTGATATAGGATTCATCTCAATTTAACTTGAAAATTTTGATGCTTAGATAATTAATCAGTATGTAGGCATTAAAGATACTCTCACCTAGTGGTTGATGGGTGTTGCAAAATTGAAAAGGCAATGTGTGTACGAAGAATAATACCCGAGTTTAATTGTTTACAACTGTATTGAAACATAATTTTACATGCCCTACAAATCTATGATTAAAGCACAATCTCCCTCCTCTTAGGTCTTCGCTCGGTCAGTTCTAAGGGGCCGTTAGGAATAGGGTTCATCCTTGCAAATCACCTAGTGTTGTGATCCAAATCCTTCCCAAAGCAAATATCAAAGCATATTAGTCACCAACCCTAAGGCAAACCACACACCCAAACCTGATAGCCACACACTTTTCTTGCATCATTTAATAATCAACTGTTCTAACATAAGATGTCCCCCACGGGGGACAACTGACTCTTAAGGATGATCTCCTCGTGAGCCCAACCGTTTGAACCGTGATCCAGTCACTTACCCGGTCCGGTTCATAGTTGAAACTCATTTTCGAGTTGGGCCGTCCAGAACCGGGAAAACCGCCGGTTCCTAGGTTTAAGCGAAACCTAAGTTCTTAAAAAAGGAAACCTAAGTTTAAGCGAAACCTAAGTTCTTAAAAATATAAATGCCTAGACTAGTCTCGAACCCTTGTTCTCTCGCCTCTCAAGAAGGAGTTTAACCACTTGAGCTAATAATGAACTTGTTCCTTAAGTCCTGCAACGGGATATATACCACTTTCAAAAATTGTTTAGATAATACATAGTTACCTAAAAATATTCATAATTATTAAACTATAGAGAATAATCGATATTATTATCATGATTAGTCTATTTATTTTATGAAATTTTAAGTTAGTTCAAAGCTAAAAGTTAAAATATTGATTATAATTTAATGTATTGCATTTCTTAATTTTTCAAAAATTTAAATCAACTAAATATAATTTTGAGTAAATTCCATAATTGGTCCTTTATAACAGGGGGGTTTCCATATTTAGTCCTCTATTATCAAATATTCCCCCCGTAGTCCTTTTTTTAAGGGTACCTTTCCACAAATGGTCCTTTTTTTCATCTTTTGCCGTGTTGGTGTTAATTTAAAGGCTAAAAGTATAATTTGACTTCAACATTATGTCTAGTGACGTGTTCTGATATTGGTTAAGCGGATAATACAAAAATAATGACTATGATTGTGGGCTAGGATTCTGACGAAAGATCACATTTATAGACTATAGTTGTCGTAAAAAACGACTGTAATTCACAAACGACGCAAACGGAACAGCCTTTGGAATTGTGTATGACAAAAATATATATTGTCATTGTGAAATTACACATTTAGCCCTTAAATTAACACCAACATGATAGAAGATCAAAAAAAAGACTATTTGTGGAAAGGTACCCATAAAAAAAGGACCACATGGGTAATATTTGATAATAGAGGACTAAATAGGGAAACCCCCTTGTTATAAAGGACCAATTATAAAATTTACTCTATAATTTTTAAAATATTAATAGTATATAAGAACATAATATGTAGTCTTTATGTTTTTGAAAAATGAATACTTCAAAGATATTCACTATTAACTTGTATTCCGCAATAATAATGAAAAATAATAGAATAAAAAACAAAAAGTGTAAAATAGTACAGAATATATGTACAATGAAACTAAAATCTAGATGTAGAAATAAGACAAGTATAAATTATAATAATTTTATTTACTATATATGTCCTCTAATAATATACAGCTAACATAAAATATTATTATTTACATATATTTGACCGGGTCGTTGACCCCTGAGTTGACCGGTTCGACCGGTTAGCCCTTGACGCACTGTCTCCTCCGGGTCAACGCCTGGTCCGGTTTTCAAAACATTGGTTACGGGGAGCATTATTATTTTTCCTCAATATGTGTAGATCTCAATGTTCAATAGTACAAATTTTGACCACCACTCAAAACATATGTTGTGTACATCTGCGGTGGCCTTAGTTCAAATTTTGAATTTGCAGCAGAAACCAGTGCCATCTCTCTCTCTCTCTCTTCTTCTTCTTCTTCGGATGCACGGATTCATATGACTCGTCTCTTTCCTTGTTTCTTTATTCATGGGGTGGACAATGGACATGGACGGGGGGCTCCCTCCCGTAAATGACTGGGAATGACGGGGGCATTTTCGTCACCCCCCCTTGCTGTCTGCTACTGTGTAATTTGGCGCTCTGTCCAACGTCTCCACTCTATGTATTGTTGTTGTCGTCTCCTCCCCTTTCTTCTCTTTAAGGAAAAAGAAAAACTTTCTCTTTGCCCTGTTTTTTCCCCATCTTCAAGAATTCATTCATCACCCCTAATTGACCATTCGTCTTCTTCAATTCTCTGAAAAAGATTTGATTTTTATGGACGAAATTGAAGAAAAGAGCAGAGGGGAGTGGTGATTTAGAGAGAAAGAGAGAGAGAGAAATGGGGTGTTGGTATTCGAGGGTAGAGAGAGAAGAATTGGTTTCAAGATGCAGAGCTCGGAAGAATTACACCAAACAGCTGGTGAAAGCCAGAGACGCTTTCTCCGCTTCTCACTCTCTCTATCTCAGGTCTCTCCGCAACACCGGCTCCGCCCTCCTCCGCTTCGCCGCCGCCGAGATCAATCTCTGCCACCTTCCTCCTCCTCCTCCGCCGCCGCCGCCGCCTCCCCTGAGCCCGACTCCCACCTCCGGGACTTGGTCTACGACCTCTACCACCACTTCCTCCGTCGTCATCCGCCCGCCGCCCCCTCCTCCGTCCCCGCCTCACGCGTCTGGGTGGGATTTCTGGGACCCCTTCCTCCCCGGGTCCTTGAAGGAGGACTGGGAGGGGACGACCGTTGCTTCCGAGGTCGCCGTCACGGCCGCCAGCGTGGCGGCTCCGCCGTCCGTTGTGACCCAGTTCTCAAAGGACGAGTCCGCCGCCGCCTCTGCCGCCAGTGACATGGCGGTGGTGGTCTCCTCAAAGGGTAAGGATTTGCTGGAGATCATCAAGGAGCTGGATGAGTACTTTCTCAAGGCGGCGGATGCCGGCGGTCAAGTCTCTCTGCTCTTGGAAGTCCCCTGTGGTACTTTCTCCGACCAAAGACCTTCACGTATATTCAAGTACACCCTCCACTGCACAAAGTACAACCTTATCATTACAACCTTAATGTTTTTGTGTTCAGGGAGAAGTTTGGGGCCAAAGCTATGGGCATTCGGGTCAAGTCCGAAATGGAACGGGTTCCGGAGGTGCTGTGACGATTCGATAACAAACGGAATGAGTGGCGGCGGTGGTGGCTGCGCCGTGAATGCCACCTCTAGCCATTGTTCTACGGTGGAGAGATTGTGTGCTTGGGAGAAGAAGCTGTATCTGGAGGTCAAGGTAAGTGGTAGTGGTAAAAATTTCAAATTTTACTGCTGCATTGCCAAAACATTTACTGTGTTTATTTACTGTTTGTGTGCAATGGGTGGTCAATAGACCTATGAATTTATGTCGTTACCCAAGAAAGCAAAGGGAAAACAAAGTACATTTGTTTGGTTGTTCCATTTTCTAACTGAGTTGTCATTCATTTTGGATGTGTGTGTTTTTTTTTGTTAAAGTTTAAAGTGAATTTTTAAAGGGCTAAAATCAAGTTAGTTTTGGACATTTGTGTGGCTTTTATGACACATCCCTTTTTCCCCCACAAAAAAGTTTACTATTTGATAAAATAAAGTCTGATAGACATGGTTAATTTTTTTTAATCAAGCTAGGGTCACTCAAAAGGTGACCCCAAACTTTAACCTCACATTGTTACAAAGAGTTACAAGTAAAAGATGAAGTGACCTTTGAAATAATTCTAGCGTTTGTCCTTGTTTTTTTCCCGGAAAATGTTACTTTGGCATCGAGAATGACACCACTATGTCTCTCTGAGAGTGTCTCTCGTGCGTGTTAGTGAGACACGGTGGTGTGATTCTTGGTGTCATTATCCCATGACCCCCTTTTATTAAGAAAATGAAGAAACACTGGTTGTAAAACAAAAAAAAAAGAATGCTTGTGACCCAATAGGAGTACTTTTGAGCATGGGAAAACAGAGGTTCAATGGATCTTGTGTTTCTTTTGAGGTGAAAATATGTGAAATTGGTTAAGTGCAGAATGCAGAGGCACTGAAATTAGAGCATGAGAAGAAGGTGTCGCAGCTAAGGAGGCTAGAGATGCGGCGGGGGGACTATGTGAAGACGGAGAAGGCAAAGAAAGAGGTGGAGAAGTTGGAGTCTCAGATCATGGTGGCTTCCCAAGCCATTGAAACCACTTCTTCTGAGATCCTCAAGCTGAGAGAATCTGAACTCTATCCCCAGCTTGTGAATCTCGTCAAAGGGTTTGTTCGTCTGAACCTCCCTTTTATTTCCTTGAAATCCTTCGTCCGTTAGAGAGTCTTTTCAAAATGCTGGAATGTGTGGGCCCCGCCCCGCGTCTGCTGCTTGCAGGTTGATGCAGATGTGGAGGAGCATGTACGAGAGCCACCAGGTCCAGACGCACATAGTGGAGCAGCTCAAGTACTTCAGCACGGCGGCGGCGCACTCCAGCGACCCCACGTCTGAGATCCACAGGCAATCGGCTCTCCAGCTCGAGCTCCAAGTCCAGCAGTGGCACCACTCCTTCTGCAGCCTCATCAAGGCCCAGCGCGACTACATCCAGTCCCTCACAGGCTGGCTCCGCCTCAGCATGTTCCAGCTCAGCAACAAGCTGATGCAGCAGAAGAAGACAGCCAGCAGGCAGGAGGACTCCACGGTGTACTCGTTCTGCGAAGAGTGGCACCTCGCGGTCAATAATGCCCCTGACAAGGTCGCGTCCGAAGGGATCAAGAGCTTCCTGAGCGTGGTCAACGCCGTCGTCGTCCAACAGACAGAAGAGCTGAGGCAGAAGAAGAGGTCTGAGTCGGCGTTCAGGGAGCTGGAGAAGAAGGCGAACGAGCTCCGGTCAATGGAGTCAAAGTACGGTCCTTCAGAAGCTTCTAGAAGAAACAAGGACCCCGTGGGCGCAAGACGCGTCAAGGTCGAGGTGTTGAGGGCCAGGGCTGAGGATGAGAAGGCAAAATATGACAAGGCCGTGAGTGTGACGAGGTCGATGACTTTGAACAACTTACAGATGGGGCTGCCCCACGTGTTTCAGGCGGTGACGGGTTTTGCCAGTGTGTGCACTCACGCATTCGAGACGGTATATAACCAGGTGGCTAAGAGCAGCAATGATGTCAAGAGGATTTCACTCTAGATTTGCAGTTTCCAGAGTTTCTATTGTATAGTAGGTGTGTTGTGTGTGTGTGTGTGTTCTTTTTTTTAGGGTTTCATGGTATGAGTTAGATTAGGTTGTCTTGTTTTAGGGTTCTTTTTCTAATTTGATTTGTTGAAGTCACTCCTTAATTCACCTGACAAGTTTTGTTTGATGTTTGGGGATCTAACAAACTCAGCAATATGTTCTTGCAAGTACTAATGAGTCAGAATCTTTGATGTGCAGAACAGGAGAGTGAGTGGTGTTTTCTCACTAATTATGATAACTAACAATTAGGGTACCCCACACCACAGGACCCACTGCCCTAACTTGGGGTGCCAGCCTTGACTCAATCCCACACCATGGGCTGCTTTGTTTAAGACATACTAGTTGAAATAACTGAATCTGTTTTTTTTAAGGATCATCATTCCAGTGAGTATCTGTTTCAAATACCAAACAGAATCTAATCATGTGGAACTCTAACTTGCACTTGAAGTCAACTGGGATTATGAATCTGTGTTCTATAGGGGCATCAAGAAGAAGAAGAAGAAGAAGAAGAGAAAAGACGAATCTTCTCTTTCTTGTTTACAACTTACACATGAAAACTAGACGCGTAAGCTAAGCATTGGTTCCCGTATCTCATTTAAAATTGCGTAACAAGCAAAATTTTGAGATCTAACTCTCTCTACATTAGCTATACGTCGAAGAGAAATCTAAAGTCCTGCATGTAAGCTTGAATTTTCTTCAACATTTGCAATAAATGACTATTAAGATAAATCTTACAAAGAACTGGGAGTAGGCCACACTGCCTCCATAGACGGCGCAACTTTGCAGTGCAACCAAGTGAGTCTCTTCCCAGGTTGAAGCGACAAAAATATCTCTCTGGATATCCTACGGTTAAACAGCTCCAAAGCAGCAAGATAGACTTGGTCATCCACACCTTGTAACTCATCCAAAGCTCTAACACAATCAGCTATGGTGTACTTCTCATTGTGCTTGTTGATGGCATCTGCCCTGAGCCTTGAAGCAGCAGCCATCTCTGATATAGCTTTTGCAATGAAATCGTCAAACCCCTTGCGCCCTTTTTTCTTGCTGGTTTTTGCAGATGTGTTGGTTGGGTGAGGCTTGTCGTCCTCGTCTGCCACGTCAGCTTCTTCTTCGGATCCGGAGGATGAAACCTTGTCATCAAACACAGTTGAGGGTTGTGAAGCAATGGGCCGCTCCTTCCCTGTAGTAGTAGTGGATCCATTTGGCTTCCCTTTTGTCTTGTTGGTCTCAGCAAAGATTGCGCGCAACTGCATGTAGGTTGGGCAGCCTGTACTCCTTAGAATCTCTGCATCTGGATGTTCCTGGTGGTATTATATACATCATTCAAGCAAGTTCAAGTCAATTGGAAACAGATCCACTAATGTGTGTACAGATTCGTAAAGGAATTTTCATCATGAGCATTAGCAGAGTTCCAGTTGTTTGATTACTATAATCATGTCACGCAACCATCAAAGAGTTCAATTGCTCACAACCCAAAAAAATTGTTTGAGAAATTTTGTAGAATGGAAAATCTGCAGGAGATTTAAAGAGAAAGAATACTCTTTTGACGAGAAAAAATAGTTGGCACTCAATAAATAAATTTTAGATATTTGTTCATACTCAACAACAACCTAGTAAAATACAGCAAGAGGGGAGGGGACACCTTTGCTTAGACTCATTTACTTATATATTCCCTATAAATAAAGACTAGAAAATAAAACTATATATAAAATTTAAAAAAACGTTGATATAATTAAATTTCCTCTGTTTTTCTTAAGTAAACATAAATATGCCAAAAATAAAGTATTTTCCTTATTAATTACTACCTCCGCCCCACAAAAAAAGTTCTACAATTCTTTTCTTGTTCGTCTTAAATTAAGGTTCCATTTTCCTCCTTCAAAAAACAACGGTTCCATTTTCTTTTTTAAAAAATTGATTATATGGTTTACATCAATTCTCTCTCCCCTGCACCCCTGCATACATCTGAACTCCACTTAACCTCCGTGCCCGGTCAAATGTGAAACCTTAATTCAGACGGAAGGGGTAGTAGTCTCCATGTCTCCCAAGTTACCTTCTCACTTTCTTTTTTGTTTGCTCCTACATAATCACTTATTTCCTTTTAAGGGATACCATGTTTTGGCTCATATTAATTATCTCTTTCCAATAAATAATCTCAACAACATAGTTTCCCCTGTCTTAAATCTCATGCCCAATCAAAGTGCAGGAACAAACCTTGATGTATGCATCCCATGCTTCATTTGTGGCAATGATGGCACCGGTTGACTCATCCCACTTGAAATCACCCTGATCAAGTATTGACCTTACAATGGCATAATGCTTCCTAAGAGCAGTATACCGGCTCCTCAACTGCTCCTGGTCCCACGGGAGACCGGTTTCTTTATGGAATTCGTCGCAGATGAACTTCCACGCTTCCTTGTTAAAGAATTTGCTTTGTTTATTTCCAATCCGAGCTTGCTCTACCATCAGCTCCACCAATATATTAGTGAGGTGAGCATTCCACTTTGCCCTTGATTGTGATTCTGGCTGCTGAGAAGACGACACCTGTCTCCTTGAACGAGTAGGCCGGTTTGCCATCTAGTAACATGATCCGGCACAAAATTAAACAAACACATCTATCCATTTTCTTGACAAAACTGACTGGAGAAAAAAAAAAGGAAACACTTACTGGGATGATCAATGGCAGGTCCTTGTCCCAACTGTGCCAAGTTCTTTCCTTGCTTAAATTTACTTTTTAATCTTTTATGTTTTCAAAATGGAAGAGTGGAGGGTATGAATTGCACATAGAACTGCAAAAAGGAATAACGATACAGAGTAATTATTATAACAAAATTCAAACTTTTTTATATTTATCATCATTGGATCCCGATTATGAAAGCATTTTGAACTTAAAATGTTTTTTTTCATAACAATGTAGCATTTGCACATAAAAATTCAATTTTGCATGACATATATCAATAACTGACAAAAATGCAGAATTTCTGAATGATAATATTAAAAATTAAAGGCAAACACATTATATATATACACAAACATGGTTGAATTCGTATGCTGTAAATAGCCTGAAAATTAGGGGTGAAAACTGTAATTGCAAAAAAAAAATATAAAAGCACAAAATTGGAAAAAATAGCAAAAAAAAAAAAAAGAAAAATTACTTTGGGAAGGCCGTGGAGTGGTGTTTTATACACATCTTGGATGAATTAGGTCTAAAAGGAATATGGGAAGGGAAGCGTTTGGGAATTAGGATTTCGATCACACAAAAAATCATTGACCAAAATAATAATATTTACCATTCGTGCTTCGTATTTGGACATTTGAAAGAAAGACACCATTTTTGTTTGAGAATGTTCGACAATGTCGGAACCAACATTAAGCAACGAAGAAGATGAATATTAGGGGCATAAAATTAAAATAAAAAAAGAAAGAAAAGAATACCTGAGGAAGAACGGCGAATTGTTTTGTGGATTTGGGAGGGCAGAGTAGTAATAATAATGGAAAGAAAGATTTACAGTGCGGGGGTGATAACAGGTGATTCGAAATCTCCAAGGAGCAGGATGTTGACCCGATGATCGATCACGGTTTGGGTATTTTTCCCAGTTACAAAACTCCTTCTAATCCTTCTATACAAAAACGGGTTTTGACTTGGAATTTTTTTTTGTGTTGAAGCCCATCTGACCCGAAGTTATCAGGGGCCCGAAAGCTTGAGGGACTGAGGGTTCCACTTGTACTTTAAAACACTACTGTACTTTCTACTGATACGGAGTACGGGGTGTGTTTTTATAATTTTACCTCGCAACAAATGATCCGATTTGTTTTTGACCCGAAACCCGACCTGAAAACATAGTTCTCAATCCGAACCCGAATTAACCCGAACCCGAAATAACCCGAATTCGAAGTGTCCGAACCCGAACCCGACCTGACTGATCGATTTGCCAGCTCTACTAAAGAGAGTTGAAAAAAATACTCACTCCATGCTAAAAAGAATTTCTTGATTTGACTAACATGCAAAATTCTGTAGATTTTAAAATGATTGTATTTACAAATTGGTAAGGAAATAACACATAACAAAATTGTAGAATTTGATAAGAGGGAAAAAATATTCTGTATATTGAATTGTTCTGCTAAGTACAAGGAGTTTCTCCTTTATTTATAGGAGAGGATAAAGACCAAAACACAAAAGGAATTCTATTCCTACAAGGAAACAAATCACTAAATATGAACAAGGAAACAAATCAAGAGCAATCCCACTTAGAATGGGATTTGCTCTCCTTCTTGCCGTGTGGTCCAAGGAGCACCGCCCAACA